AATTTTATTGAATTACTATTTCATGAATTTATGTCAATAACTTTAGTGTCAAACTGTAGATTTTAATTCAAATTTAGTACTATATATTACTCAATTTCTTAATGTAAAAGTAAATACTAAAAAACACAGATAAACATTGATTTTTGTGTGACACATGGTATGTTGAATGCAGCACTGGTTCAAATTAGAAGTTTGTGAAGTCAAAATACTAAGTCAATTATTTTGTACGAATTAGAAACTCAACTTACTGATATTGATAAGCTAGAATACAAAATATGAGCCTCTTATCTTTTCAATTTGCTAATATATTGCTCATGTAATAAATCAAACTCAATGGCACACCACCCACCTCTTTCTATTTTTGTAAACACTCCCTTATATAAACTTACTTCTATATATGACATGAATAACCAATCTGAAGCTCAGAATGTCCCCCTAGTGGCTCTCTCAGCCATTTTAATGGTCTTGGTGTCATTTCTTTCTTTTGAACCAATATTTCAATGAGGTAGGAAATGTCTTTAATCTGCTCGAAATTTCATATCTTTTTGATTAAAATACAGCTTAGTTACTAAGCTTGATAAATTATAGTGGAATTCTATGGTATTAATGTAGTATTTATGATTTTTTTAGTTATTCACATGTATATATAAAACCTAAAAAAATTATTTTCTTTCATATCCTCCACGTATACGTATATTTAAAGGCTTAGCAACCTGCATCAAACAGTAACTGAGTACAAAAGTCATAACTAGAAGAGACAATTGTTTGCTTTACTTCTTGAGTTACTGTTCTATGTTTTAAGAAAAATAAGTTTAAGAACTTATTTCAAAATAGCAATAATCTATGTACATATATAATGTATAATAACTGAAATGTGACTGAATTTTACAAAATACTATTTACTAAAACACAGCCAAGACAAGTTACTTTGTACAGACCAAAGGTCAGTTTTATGATATTTGATACAGTAACATGAGTGCATGTGAGCCGCATCATTGTAACTTCTTT